TCCAACGATTCTACAACTTTTTCAAGTCGTCCGAATAATATGATGATTTGTCCAACCCTTCAAAATAAGCCTCTGTTTCGGCGATGAGCTGCTCTCTGGTGGTGAATCTTTTCCTGCGAACCATTTCTTCAGATTTGGAAATAGGAAATAGTCGCAGGAGGCTAACTCTGGCGAATATGCTGGATGGGGAAGCAATTCGTAGCGGAATTCGTTGAATTTGGCCATCGATGCCGGGCACGTGAACTGTGCATTGTCTTGATGGAAGAGCACTTTCTTCTTCGTCAAATGGAGACATTTTTTCTTTAAAATGTTGTTGAAACGGTCCAATAAGGCTGCGTAGTAATCGCCATTGATCGTTTTGCTTCGACGGTAATTGATATGAATTATACCGCGTGCATCTCAAAAAATTGGTCATCATCTTTCCGGTCGACTTCACGGTCTTCGCTTTCTTCGGAACTGGTTCACTCGATGAAGTCCATTATTTTGACTGTTCCTTCGTCTCGGATGTGAAGTAATGGATCCATGTTTCCACGGTAATGAATCGACACAGAAATTCATCTAAATTATGTTGAAACATCTCCAAACATTGTTTTGAAATCATCACACGGTCTCACTTATGGTCCACAGTGAGCAAACGCGTCACTAATCTTGCCGATAGCTTTTTCATACCCAATTGTTCGTGCAAAATTGAAATCACTGTGCCATGTGATATGCCTGTGGCCTCAATAAGCTCGCACACTTTCACTCGTCGAGCAGTCAAAACAATATCATGAACTTTATCGATGATTTCTGGCGTAGTAGCCTCAATTGGATGTCCCGAACGAAGTGCATTACATGTGAATGTACGACCATGTTTAAATTCATTCGCCCAATTGTATACAGTCATAAACGCTGGTGCAAATGAACATTATCCAACTCGGCTTTGATTTCTTTCGGCGTTAAATCTTTCATATGTAGATTGCACGTTGAAATTCGTTTTTTTCCATTTTGCAAAAAATACAAAGATTGTTCGCTTTAATCGTCTACAGAAATGAAATCACGCAATGAATTCCACTCAAAATTTGACAGTAATTTGAAAGCTGCTACTTATCAAAAAGTAATGTGACATAACACTGCGAGTGCCCTCTGACATATTTTCTAAGAACTTATTGACTTACCCTCGTAACAAGCATTCTATCAAGAAAATTCAATCTGCCACCTGTACCAACCTCCAAAATAAACTGCAATCTCAGTAAATAAAACAATGGTTGTACTGATAATTTATTAATTGCTATTTCCTCTAGATCTTGCATTACAATGTCGGTGATTATCGGTGATAACGATGAACCCGTTAGAATATCAAATACTTGTTTATAAGTTTTGTTATTAAAAGCAAAAAAAGTTTAATCTAAAATAAATCTAACTGGAATAATGAATTTTTTGAAATATTTGTCTTCGTTGAAATGTAAACCCATCTCCTATCGATGCTAGATCAACAGGAATATTAGTAAAAAAGGATACTACATCTAATGAAGCCAAAACATATTGAGAATCAAAAACTGTGCCATTTAATTTCTCAACTAAATGGAAATTGTCTTTAATGTGGCTAGAAGCTTTTGATATGCTGTCATTAATTATATTGTATAAAAAAAGAGAAAGATAATATAGTGGATTAATAGAGGATACAATCACTCTCAATGGTTTGCCGACTTTATGTATTTTGGTCAAACCGTAAGCTCTAGATATAACACCATCAGTTGTAAGCAATCTTCGATACGTTTGTTCGTCAATAAATTGATCGCGCTTCCATCTCACTAGCAATGTACGTAAGTCCTGAGTCAACTTTTTAATTGAATCTTTATTAACAATTTCATAAGTATTAGTATCTGTAAGAATCTCCTCCATTTTTGATACATAGGCGTCTTTATCAAGGATAACAGTAACACTACCCTTATCAGCGTTTGTAATGAGTATGTTTAGGACGGTCATTTATAAATCTATTTGTATATAGCCACTCATATAGCCACTCTAAAATCTGTTGTCAGTAAAGTTAGGAGAAGGAAAATTGTTATGGAATCTGTTAAGTATTGAGATAGAATTATTTCTGACAAAGTTAATTGATGTTTTTAGGTCGATCACTTATATTATTTTCAATGTGTTTAATAAATTCAATTAAAATTTTTTCTTTGTTGTCTTTATTAATAGGGAGCCCAAATTTTTCATCAAGTTGTAATTTAATACCGAATGTCACTGCTGTTCAAATTAATAAACCATTTGTCATGTAGCGCATCTAGGGGAGGCGCCTCATTAAATTTTTCCGGATTAATATCTTTCCGAATTAAATTGAATGTTTTGTGAGTCATTGGAAACCGTAAGTTGAATATTGTTAGAATTATCATTGGAAACAGAACAAACATATGAGATAGGTTTAAATTTACCTAAAACTTACTCACAGATTATTCAATCTCTTTCTCTTTCTTAACTACATTCTTTCTCTTTTTACTTCTCCTCTCCCCACTTTCTCTTCCTTCTACTTTATTTTCTTCCTCTTATATCTCCCTTCCTTTCTAGTTTACCACTTTAACCTTCTTGTCTTGATATGTGTATTTTATATTGTCTCTGAGCATCTTAAAGAAACAACTATATTTTCAATCTTATCGCATTACCTAAGAATAAACGACGTTTATATTACATTGACACAATAGAAGGTTTATTCTCATTTGATTTAACTGTTATTATAAATACCTTGAATATATATAATTTATGACGGTACATCACACGATTTTAATTCGTATTAATAACTTTAATATACATTTCTCATAATATTAGATTACTTTTTTACTTTCATTTTCATTCCCTGTTTCTTAATTTATATTTCTCTTATTAGATTTGATTACTTATTCCTATTATTGTACAATTTTGCATTATATTTGTACTTTTTAACAGAAACAAGTATGTTTGTCTAAAATCTACATACACAATCCAGAGGAATACATAGTTATCGATCACAACATTTTTATAACATTTATTTTGTATTGAATGATATTGTTAATTAATACTGCGATCGAGAGCGAATTTCAATTTTTATATATCTTATCTATGTAATATTTCCACTGTTATTTTTATTTACATTGATAATGACCCAACAGGGATCGAAACGTTTGATTTTGTTTTGTTTGTCACCGACAAATTAAAGTTTTATGTTTTAACTAAATGATATGTTTATTTATTAACGGTTTCAAATTTTAATTTTATAACGATTAATCTTAGGCTCATATCCCTTTGTCTTTCTGTTCTTTATTAAATAATTCGCTTACATGTTTGGCTCATTTTTGAGCTATCTTTAGAGACAAATTAATTTTATAATTACAATACAAATTAATTCATTCCAATGAGCTACCTCTACAGACTTAAGGAAACTTTAATATTGAAGAATGACTCTAATGACAATCCAAATTGTGTTCAAATTTTATAGACAAAATCATTAAAAAACTAAACGAATTTTTATATCACAATAAGAAGGAAGCTTATAGCAACGGGGATTCACCATGTCGCAAACAATTATGTTTTATTAATTTAGTCAAAAACTAGTTTTTGACTTATCAGAGAATCAATGTCAAAATTGTTTTTAAATCAGTAAAATAACTTTTATACAATCGATATTAAGTTGTTCTTCCACAAGAAATACTTCTTAATTATAACTAAATTTAAAAGTTATTTCACTGATTTAAACAATTTTTATACTGATTCGCTGACGAGTCAAAACAAGTTTTTGACTAAATTAATAGAACATAATTGTTTGTGACATGATGCATCCTCGTTGCTGTGAGCTTCCTTCTCATTGTGATATAAAAATTCGGTTTTTTAATAATTTGTCCTATAAAATTTGAATTGTCATTAGAGTCATTTTTCAATATTAAAGTTTCCGTAAGTATGTGTGGTTTCACTGGAATGAATTAATTTGTATTGTAATTATAAAATTAATTTGTCTCTGAAGATTGCTAAAAAATAAGCCGAAACATGTAAGCAGGTTATTTATTAGGTGTTGGAATTAATTCGTAGCGTTTTTAATGAAAGAATGTTATTTATTTCACATGAGCATTAAAAAATACATTAATAAAAGTACTTCCCATCTCTTGTAAAACGCTACGAATTAATTCCAACACCTAATAAGAAAGACTTTTGTGTTGTATTCACATTTTTCGTTTTGCGCAATAATTATTGAGCCTGATTCCTATTGCCCTATTTTATCTATTTTCTTTATGATTAGTAAAGAGTCTTCACGAATTATCTCATATAAAAGTCGCTACATCATTGAGATAGCATATGATATTTAATTAATCAAAATAAATATAAGTAAATATTTATCCTGATTAATATAATTTTATGTAATTTCTCTCAATAGCTAGCGGTTTTGTCGATTTGAACGCGCCCAATAACGTGTCTAATGACGGCAAACGCGTTGAGTGGTTCTATCTCGCTTACATTTGGCGGTGCAGAGCGAATTTGATTATCTTCATAAATTAACTACTCGTTAATTAATGCGAAAATTACAGGACTTTTCTACTCAGTATAGCCTTTCTGCCTCTATGCGAGAGTTTCATTCATTGTCAATGTCACTGTATAATAATAATAATTAATATTAATAATTATTTTATAATTATAATATTATAATGATTATCCGCGAATATTAAAGAAATAACGCCAAGGATATATGAAGTGAACACATAATACCAACAGAATATTCCCATAGTATTAAAAAATATATGGTATTCCTAGAATTATATTAATATTAATAATTATAATATTATTTTATTTTTTAATAATATTTTTATAATATTCCATGAATATTATGCGCTTATAGGGTTCTTGCTCTTTTTCTTGCTTTTCCTCTTTTCTTTCTCACACTCTCTTTTCTCTTGATATTTATCTATTTCTGTTATAAACATGAATAATAAGGATTTTGGTTGGTGAAAAAGTTGGTGAGTAAGTCTCTTTGTTTGGTGTCTGTGATGTTGCAGCGGCTTCCAGCGGTGCTCAGCAGGATAGGAATTATATTGGCCAGCCCCTTGGTAAGACCCCCCATTGCATAAGTTTATGGTCATGACTTCGTACGTTTCTTAACTTTCACAAAAAATACGAATTGTCAAATTTTCTTTATTGCTTTATCAAAAATATAATGGCAGGAAAAAATCTGAAAAAAAAAGAAATATGATTATATAAAAGAAATCATTCGTACTATACATGATTTGACATATGTAATAATGAATTAGAAATTTATTACAGAAAAAGATACAAAATATAAAAAGAAAGAGAATAATATGCAAGGTCTTAACCGCATCCTACAAACCTACAAATGCAAGACATAGGCTACAGTTCGCTTAGCGCTACAAATCATTTGAAACGTTTGATTGATCAGGACAAAGAAATAAAGCATTTGTAGCACCAAATGAATCGCAGTTATATCATATACAAATATACTCATACACAAACATAGACATTTAATTTTATTATCATATATTCTTTAGACTCGGAGATCATATATTCTTTATACTTCCGTATCTTCTTACATCAACAATATGTTATATAAGAATATATAAAATATATAGGCATAGAGTATCAAAATAAACCTCTTCCACTCCATCCTTAGTGCCAGGGGCGTGATCTAGTCGAGGCCAGTCTGGGAAAATGGCGCACCCTGACTGGCTGGAGACGAGGGGAGGGGGTAATAAAATAATTAAATGGAGTTTTGATTGACTAGCTCTATAATTGTCAGTGTTTTAATTGGTTCGCTCCATAACTACCCACGCGATGATTGGCAAGGGAGAGATTTCGATAAGAAATATGTAATGAACGTGGAATGGCAGATAACTACAAAATGGCAGATTAGAAAATCGAGGAAAATTTGGACTGAGACATTTTTCGCCGCGAGGAGAGGGAACTGGTACGAAAAGCAAACTTGTGTGCATGAAGGAACATCAATGGAATGTCAAATTAAAATATGTTACAATCAACATTGGCAGAATACAGCATTAAGTCAGAACACCAAATACTATTTGATAAAATGACTATAGCTACACGACATCATATTTTCCAAGGGAGTATAGGGAGGTTCAAGAAATCTAGAAATATTCAAATAATTTAAGGGTACATTCTCGTGTAAATTTTTCAAAAAATCGATTTTTTTAATTGCATATTTCGATTACAACATTTCAAGAATATACTGTCAAAATTTTAAAAAGAAATTCGAAGAATTAACAATATTACAGCCAAAAGTTTTTTTCTTTACAGATAAATATTTCAAAAAGTTGAAAGCTAACTTTATGGACTAGGAATCGTTGATTAACAGTAAATAGTTAATTATTATTTTATTTTAAAAATTTATCTGTAAAAAAACTTTAAACGCGTTTGTCTTGAAACGTTTTTTTGGCGATTGACACAATTTTGAAAAAACTAATCGATTTTTTGAAAAATTCTTGCGGCGTTGTATTCGTAGATTGACTAATTATCGCGTAAACCAGAATAAACCGGTTTCACTAAAAATTAAATTTTTTATCCAACTTTTTTGAACGAAAAAAAGTATTTTTTTGCATCACTTTCTAAAAACACTTGTCAACTCGCAAATTTTTCAATATTTTTCAATAATTTCGGTTTACGCAATAGCCACCCTAAGAAAAAATTTTATTTTCTGGTTATTGGTTCTCGAAATATCGTGTCAACCGTTTGGTCATCTCATTTTTTCAACTCTGCGCCTCTCAACTAATTTCTTGGAATTTTAAAATGAAAATATGTTGTAAAATTTTTTTCATATATTTTTCATGTAATATTAATAAATATGTGAAAAATGAAAATTGTACATCTTATAGTTTTCCTTAAGAAAAAATCCAAAAAGGCCTTATTTTTAATGTAATTACACGAGAATGTATCCTTAAACAGAGACATAGACTAACGTTCAAATATGAAAGATGGCTCTTCTCTCTCTTTTTTCTTCCCCCATCAATACCTCTCCTCCCAACAGAGTTTATATAAAGGGAGCTCTCTGGAGTAGCTCAGTCAGTGTTGCCGTTTTTGATGATTTTTCATTATAATTTAGTGATTTCTAAAGTTTTTTGGTGATTTAGTGAATTACTTTCTTTATTTCATGAATTTTTATGTCAGCGTCCTCTATTCCACTTATTAGTCTTGTTTTCAGTTCCTTATTGGATCTAAATAGTGCCATTAACATAAACCAATCAAGAATCTTAGGATGTTGAAGCGAAGGCTGAACTTAATAAAGGTCGATATTACAGGTTTTCATTTCCAATGTATAAGATGTTTACCCTCTGAGTTAATATGATCATGCAGGAAATTCGATCGATTAATTATCGATATTTTTTTTCCTATATTACCATCTTAGTAGGGACGAAAACATGTATTAGGCTCGGTTCCGCAAATGTAAGATTTTTATTTTGGAAAATTGTTCAATTTTACAATTGAGGGAAAAATAAATTGGAATTGAAGTTAATCTTATATTTGTGGAATCGGGCCTTAGAAATACAATTGTATTATGTACACATGTAATGTAGGCCGCGTTCCAATATATACCACCAGTACTAAAAATCTGTAATATACATAAAATACAGATTTTTAACTAATAGTTATATCGATACGAAGCCATAGTAGCATTTTTCCTTATGTCCAATGCCATTTTAGGTAATAATATATTATCAATAAATGAATACGGCATTGTACGTACATAAACGTAACTCATTTTGCTCTGTCCAATAAAAAGAGATAGACACTTATAGTATTTACATGTCAACTTATATCCAATAGAGAAAATTGTATATATTATACTATGAACACATACATGCACGCATTATATAAACAGATAAAAATTGCTCATGAAATAATCATGCAGATATTATCTATTTATACGCAATATTAGAATTTTATGTACATACATTGTATAATGTGTATTCACATCACACAAATATAACATTTATAATTCTAACATTGTTGTAACATATATAAAAAAACATTAACTAATATAAATTATAATTATATTTTATATGTATTATAATGTATATATACACAATAATATATCCAAAATATAATTTTAATATTGCATATATCATTAATTCACTAACATGTCTATATGATACAATATTACAATAATAGAATGATATGATTGACAATAATAGAATAATATTGTGTTATTATGTGTATACATACATTATAATACATATAAAATGTAATTGTAATTCGTATTCATGAATGTAACATGTAACATGTATTAACTATACATAGATATATTACATATACAATATATATAGCTACTCCATTTTTGCTACCTTTAATGAAAAGATGTAGAAGTTATTCATGTTAAAATATACAGATATTAGTGGTGTGTGTACTTAAATATAATACACATAGGCAATATTATATAACATTGTAGTATATATGTATACTATAATGTGTGAATAAACACACATTACAGATACGGTTTTAAGTTATTAATGCTAAGCTGTGCATTCCTTTAAATATGCAATATAAAAATTGTATGTAACACATATAATATAATGTGTATATATGTACACATAAAATTTAATTTCAATGTTTTGTATAAATAAACATAGGAAATATCTGCATGAATACCTCAATATAAATTACTTTTATCTCTAATTTGTGTAGATATTCACAATCATAATACGCACACATGCAATAGTCAAATATTAAAAAAAAAACAATTATTATATAGGGGACTTTAAATCTATAAAATATACGTATAACTAACATAAATCAAGACTAATGAGGCAATATAGATATATAACGAAAAACTCACATATCCAAAAAAATTGTGTTACTCACAAATTGTCAAAGATGAAGTGATGTAAAATTTTAGTAGATAAATTTGTATAAATGTAGTTTTGTGATCAATTATGTGTCAAAGCTTCTTGGCATGCCCCCTATCTATTAAAATTTTACATAACTTCATCTCTGGCAATTTGCGAGTGATCAAGAGAGAGTGAGACAATCTTTTTGTATTTATGAGCTTTTCGTAATGTATTGCTGAAGAGGACTTCAAAGTAAGTTGAAATGTACAAAGTAAAGAAGATATCATTTATCAGAGGATTCGTAATTTGATTATTTTTTTGTAAGATGTTACGTCTAATCATCTGCGTTTGACTCTCATTAGCTTTGATTTATGTTAGTTATATGTATATTCTGATATTGAAAATATAAAAGCATAGATCACTAATATTCGTATATTTGACCATAAAAACATATCATATCATTCTCTTTTTATTAAATGTAGAAAAAAGAGGACATCAGTATACCTTTTGTTATACGTAACAAAAAGAGATAAAGTAGCTACACACGTATGTAAATATAAATTAGAAATTTATTTTATGTTTTACATCATATGTTTAATGTGTGTACATCATAATGCACGTAAAATATAATTCTAATATTCACTATTGTGTCTATATCATGAAAAGCTAAGTAAAGTACCTTCTGTCTCTTCTTATTATAGGCCTTTTACAATAAGCCATTAGTCATAAATTAGAAGTCAGAAGCTAAAAATTGACCACACAGTCATCAATTTTTAGCATCTGATTTTATGACTTATTATTGTAAAAGGCCCATTAAACATAACAAAAAGAGATGGAATAGCTACATATGTATTTGCAATGTATTTATGTGATAATACATCTGACTATTACATCCTAAGTTAAAATGGCAAAGGAAAAAATTTTTCCATTACACATGTATACATGTATTTCAAATATATATGCATTCGAAGATATATCTATGTCACAGTCAAAGTGTTCATTTAGTAAAAATATATTTATTGTAACTTGCTGTTAGTCAACGTGTACATTGACCTATAAGTGTATACATTTACTAAAACATTTTGAATATAATATATTTATATACATTTCATAAACGTACAACGTCATATGAAAATTATGCATATGACTGTGTAATGTATGTTTTATATATATATATATATATATTCTGTTCAAAAACTATCGCGAATTTTGTATATATATTATATATATGTACAACATATATATTATAGCGTGTC